TGGATGGACAGATGGAGGGATGGAGGGATGGACAGATGGATGGATGGACGGAGGGATGGATGGATGGAGGGATGGATGGATGATGGATGGATGGAGGGTGGATGGAGGGATGGAAGAATGAATCTGTGAATGGATGGCTGGATGGAAAAGCAGGCAAACACAAGGTCCTATAGGTTTCTCTGAGCTGGAGGAAGCTCTGGATTCTCCACTTTATCTACATCCTAGATAAGCACCCTGGGAGGAAAATCTAAATCAACGCTCTCAGCTTATCTCCTTCAAATAGGGAAGCATTAGTCCCAAGGCTCCTCAAGCTCACAAACTGCCAATGCACTTTTCAAACTTAGATCCCTATTATTAACTGAGATTTACCCAGCTTTCCTTCTGCCGTTCACTCCAAGGGCCCTGCCCTTCCAGGCGGCAGCTGGGTGCTGTGCAGGTGAGTGCACTCCACAGTTGTCACCATCACTGGCAGGACCGCCCAGAGGCAAGTGCCACTGTGACGCGCGCATCCTGTCTGTCGCCCATCCGCAGGAGAACACCCGGCTCCCGGGTACCTGGCGCTGGTCTTGGCTGGGAGCCCACCTGCTGGATGACATCCCCGTGTAAACAGAGTTGAGCGTCACCAACTCCTCAGATGTCGTCCCGCTGCGCTCCTGTTCCCTGCGGGTTTGGAAATGCGGGAACCTGCCGGAAGCACTTTCGGGGAGCTGAGCCCAAGGGCAGGTTTGGTCCACGTGGGTCTAATTTGCTATGAAACTACAAGAAAGTGTTTCATGAACCGACCTCCTCCGTCTTTGCTCCCCTATTATCTGTCACCAAACGGTCGCCTCACTAACAAGAGGAAAGCAGGGGAGGACACACAGGTAGCTGGTGAAATCCTTGAAAATTCTGGTTTGCAGACAGAACTTCCCACCGGCCTCCGCCTGTGCTGACCACCAGGACCCTGTCTGCCCCGCAGGGTCTGTGCCCCGACAACCACCCACAGCCCCCACACGGCAAAGGGCAAGAGCAGCAGGGAGCTGCCCACACTGCCCACCCTGCTCCGGGCTGGGTCACTGCGGGCACTCGACCCACCACCCCCCGCACCCCCACCATGGGGCGGGAGGGTCTGAGCCCCAGCTCCTTGGGGCCTTGGGCAAACCTCGTTGCTGGGCAGCCTGCCTGGCCCGCAGCCCCGGAATCCCCTCCAAGGGCCACCCTGTGGGGTTCTTTCCCTGGGCCTCCCCTGCTACGGGGCGAGGGATTTTGGTGGTCTTTCTATCAATCTCGATGCTCAGAGAGAGATCCGCCTTCCAAAAAGGGTAAAAAACCACACAAGCTGTCTGTCAGAACGTATGTTATCAAGACGGAAACGTGACCTGAGCTCAGAGCATGAACTCAGAGCATGAGGACGAAGCATATGAACAAGGACTGTGTGAAGTTCGGAAAGTTCTAGAACTTGGGCACTCCAAGTGTATGTTAACTCTGAGCTCCTCAGAGGCCGGCGACGCCCTGCAGGGACGGGGTGAACCATTGGATTTAAACACAGCTCCCAGCCTGACGCTGCCACTCGCCTTCTGCACAGCTGTCCTCAGCTCCCGCCTTCGACTCGAGAGTGACATAGGAAGGCCCCTCCCGGCCCTGCCGACAGACGTTGACATGCCAACGAACGTGGGGACTGCTTTGCAAGCACATCAGTGTCCGCTGTGCATAAATCTTTTTGGCGTGGAATATCTAAGACTTTTACCCAGATTTAGATGCTATAACAGGGAGTCATACATAACAAGTGGTTATTTTTCAAACAGTAAGCTAAGAATTTATTACTTCCTTTAATTAATAACTGTGCTACGTTTTGTTTCCAAAAATCTCTATGTTATTTGACGAAGCAGCTGAGACCGGGCACAGCAGCAACTTTGCTTACTGACACGATACGTGTGTGAGATGTTTTCCAAAGGGAACGATCGAAAAAATTTACTAACCACACAACGTCGTCTTGCTGGCAAACCTGACTTCAGAGTCACGCCGGCTGGAGCTGCCGTCATGGCTGGTTTGCTTCCCAAGAGCCTGAGGAGCTCACATCTGTGTCTCACCGTCTTCCCCACGGCCCTTCAGGAGACTCCCAGGCCCCCTCAGTCCCGCCCACGAGCCCTGACGGACCTAACCCCGAGGCCGGCGTTACCCAACATGGTCCGTACAAAACCCTTCTTCCTTTCCTCCTGAGTCTCTAAACCAGGTGCCTGCTGCACAAAACTGTAGGGA